AACCTTTTGCAGCATTGGCAGTGGCTGTCTTATCACTTGGAGTCCCGGAAAGCTAGTTAGCACTGTCACTGCAGCCACAAGTCATTTTAAGGTTAGAACGAAGAAGGTCTAGTGCCGATAGCATGGCTGGGCGTCCTGTACTAACCTCAGCAGCAGTGCTGGATGATGGATGGGGCTGCATGGGAAGGCAGCTGCCCATCATTCATTATGAGATTAGAAAACCCACTGCAGGAAGAGAGGGAATAAAAGATGAATTTGGGGGAATTCGGAGCCAGTATGTTCTGGGGGTGGCCCGGAGTATTCTGGCAAGTATAAACCTGTCCTATATCTGCAGGAGAAAAATCCACTGGAACACAGAGATCAGCAACAGAATTGCTTGGAGGCTAGTCTGTTTAATTTTTAATAAACAGGTTAATCCAGAGGTTCTCAGGCTTTTTACCTTTGTGACCTTATTCTTTTAAATGGATTTTAAACACTTTTATCTTTTCAATAATATTTTATTCTTTTATATGCAATCTGTTTTAATATTGTCATAATGCAATTCTGTTTCAATATAACACTTTTCTGTGTTTTTAATTGTACTGTTTTAATCTTGCAAGCCGCTCTGAGCCCCAGTCTTGGGACAAGGGCAGGATATTAAATAAATAAATAAATAAATAAATACCCCCCACTTTTACATCTGCACCCAGAGGTCTCCCTCCTGTTTGATAGAGTACATAAATAAAAAATATTTTGTTTGCTTAGTGAGTGTATTTTCATTCACACATTCATATTTTAACATAAGGAAATGACATGAGAGCTATTGCCTTCTAAGATGATAAATATAAATGCGTGAACAAAAATGCTCCATACATTTTCCTCTTCTCCTCCAAGAAGTCCTGCCCCACATTTCCCCACAATTTGAGAACCACTGGGTTAATCTGAAGTTTATACATAAATTTAGATATCATGTCCTTTTTCTTTTCTGTAGAGAAATCTGTTCCTCAGATCTCCAGAAAATGTAGGTATTTATTCACTTTGAATTCTTGTTTAAATGTTTATAGCTTTAAGGATATATACACATTAAAATTACTTTAACAGGAGGATGCTTGCAGAACTTTATAGAAAGCTAACAAACTTAGAAAGATTAAATCGTTTCTTTTAAAATATTTTGGAAAGCTCTCTTTTTCCTACCAGAACATTGCCAAGTTTTTACAAAATCACTGTAAGGCTTAACTTTATCTTTTCTGCCTTATAGATTTTGTGAACTTTTGGGAACTTGCCTTATGCATGTGAATAAAGTTGACTGGACTGTGGAATAACTCCTGGTATATATATATATATATATATATATAGAGAGAGAGAGAGAGAGAGAGAGAGAGAGAGAGAGAGAGAGAGAGAGAGAGAGAGAGAGAGAGAGAGAGAGAGAGAGTTTGCTATGTTTTAAGATTTGTGTGTGTGTGTGTGTTGTGTGCCTTCAAGTTGTTTCCAACTTATGGCAACCCTCACATTTAAAAAAAAAAAATCAAACCAAAGGCTTTCTTGCTCTAAAACCCAACAGCCTTCTGTTTGAATGCTTGCTTGTAGTGATTTCTGTGTTGTTGTTTTTTAACCAACAAGTTGCTTTGTTTTGCTGTAAAAGATGCAAAGCAAAAGCTTGTAGCATTCCACTGTTACATTTTATTACAGATGCAGGGCCATCTTAACTGTAACAAGTACTTAACAAGTTGCTTAGCTTTAAAAGGTGGCCAGCCTTTGATGAAAGGCTGCTTGTAGATTTTTAAAATGTTTAAAGGTATGTTTGATTATCTTTGAGATTATTTTTTAATGGAGTGTGTACATAACAGCCAGTGTAGTGTAATGAATTGCGTGTTGGACTACAGCTCTCAGGGTTTGAATCCTTGCTCAACTATGAAAACTCTATGCCTTTTCAATAAAATCACCTCTGAACCAGAAAACCCTGCAATAGGTTCACCTTAGGGTTGCCATAAGTTGGAAACATGTTGAAGGCTCAGTGCAACAAACTTTACATCTAATAGGTCTATTTGTTCTTATGTGCTTTCAAATTGACTCATTGTTATAAATAGTCATCCTATCCTAGGGTTTTCTTGATAAGATTTATTTGGAGAAAGTTTACCATTGCCTTCTTCTGAGGCTGAGAGTATGTGACTTGCCCAAGATCACTCAGTGGATTTCTATGGCTGAAGATTTGAACTCTTGTCTCCTGGAATCCTTTTCCAACATCCAGGTAGGGACATTCGCATGCATAAGTGTCCCTTACACACATTGGTATCATTGATGCAGAACTTGTATGTGCGCGGCAGTGGGAGCATAAATCATAGGGATCATTTCATATAGGTGAGGAGTTTCGTTTTCTAATTTAGGATATGTGGCATTATACACACAGGTCATAAATGTGTTATATACTTGCAATATAGCAGATTCTGGTGATGTTAATAGATTGATTGTCCTTGAGCATTTTGTACAATCGACACTGGAGTGATGGGGATTATCAAATGCATTTTTTTTTTTGTTATAAAAAGTAGGGGTGTTTTGAATACTTAGAATGTTCTCTTGCATCCCAGAAACCTCT